ACGACGTCTCTCTCTCTCTCTCTCTCTCTCTCTCTCTCTCTCTCTCTCTCTCTCGCTTTCTCTCTCTTCATTTTTGCACATTCGCTGATGCGGCACATTGCAAGCTGCGCCGGCGGAAACGACGTCGGGTGAGGAAAAAGAAAAGAGGAGGGGGAGGGAAAGGGCGAGAGCGAGACTGGATCGGTCAGTCTGTGCGGGAGTCGCGGATAGGGGAGGGAAGGACGAGCAGAAATAATGTCCTGCCTCATTTTTTAAAGTCTCCCCCGGATCCGCGGCGGCGAGGTGGTGGTGGTCCAGGATTCTGCAGGAAAAAAATGTGACGGACGCGTAGAGATATAGGTGGGTGTGCGCGGGTGCGATATTACGGCGCAATAGCGCTGGCCGGTCGGTCGCCGGTCCGCCACCGAATGTGAAACGGTCAAAGCTAAAAAGCACTCTCCGCCGAAACGGGCTATATATTATCTGCAACCCTTCAAACACAGAACCGTCCGCGGAGAATTCCATATATAACGTATAACGTGTGCGTAAGCTTCGCACGTCCTGCAGAATCGCCAGCGTATTCGCCACCGTCTCTACATTTGACCCTTAACCACTCACGTTGGATCAATTCAACCCTTCAAGTAGTTTTTTCTCGTTTGCATTTTTTTTACACGGAAGAATAAACAAGACTAGGTTCTTTTATATATACATATATAATTTTTTATTACGAAATTTTTAGGATTTAAAAATTTTATATCAATGTAAGAAAAGTCTATAAATATCATTAATGTTTTATCGCTAACAAGCATCTTTCAGCTAATAATAAATATATGTATTAGTGTTAAGACCACAAAGTTAGTATTTACTTATAAATAAAAACTACTTGCCCACGGAAAACATTTAAAACAATTACAGACGTACAAAGAAGCACTATGAAATCAGTCCTCACGTAAATGTTTGTAAAAAGAAAGAGAATTGCATTCCTAGAATATAAACTTTATATATATACATATTGTATACATATATACACATGTATGCATATATCAGAGATTAAATCGATATTGGTTGTTTTTCTAAGTAATTGAAAAGTGAAAATAAATAGCGGTAATCGAATCTCTGTCTATGAAATCGATAAAACGAAAATGTAACGAGAATTTGATTGCATGTATATGCATAATAGTCGCTTGCATGGGGGTGAAGGGGCAATGAAATGGGCGTGGCTATGAGGGATTGCGAGTTCTTGGTTGTAATCTCGTCGGCCAATGCCGAGGTCGCTTTACTATCTGGCAACTGTTGCAAACGCAAGCGCAAGTGCTTAAGCTTGCCTCCGCGAGCTTGCTATAGGTCGCCGTGTATTAGATGCAGCATTGAATTTTACGACGTACAAGCGCAGACTCGAACTGAAAGAGAATTTGAAGAGAGAGAGAGAGAGAATTCCACCGTGTCTAACTTACAGAGGTTTCTTTTTACAATACGTCATGTCATTTTATTCTTATCATTTTATTTCATTATATTCCATATTTTATTGTTTATATTTTGTAATATATGACAGCATGATTTAGAAAAAAGATAAAATTCAAATTTATTCTCTGATATAAATTTTAACGATAAAACATATCAAGTATGTTACTAACTGAATCTATTGTAATAAATCGATTATTTCCTTTTCGCTTTGTCGCTAAGAATTCCGATTAACTATTGTTTGAAACGCTCCAATGCCAAAACCATGCTATCTATTATTTGACACGTGCTGCTATAAAAATATTTATACTCATTGTTGGCTTTTGGATGATAATTATAAACATCTTCCATAAACTCGCCGTCTGGCGTAAAAAAGAGAATTCGCGGAACGTAAGTTCCGTCGGGTTGGTACTTGGCTTCATCTTGTGCGGGAATCTCATCTTTTTTTATATTCACCATGACAAAGCTGCATTATCATGTATATTACAAAGTCGATATTAATTCTTCATTAGGTTTCTTACTTGAATAGCTAATCTATTCAATTATTTTTAATTTATTGTTATTTAATTGTATTTTTGAAGTTTAAGTTGCAAAAAATTATCCATTTTGCTTATAGCAAAACTTGGGTACCAAAACAAATTGATATTAAATTTGTCAAAAATCTATCATATCTTATGTGTTATATGTATACGTACTATATTGTACATGTATATATACTAATTATTGTGTACTTTGCAGATAAAATAGAGTAAGTGGGTCACATTTAGAAGACAGAACATGCGCGCATATTTGCGAATGAATAACTTTGACATCACAAAGAGCACAAAGGCAAGGAATTTTTCAAGGAATACTTACTGTTGGCTGAGATCAAGGATTCTGATGGCATTCGCGAATTTGGGCTTCAATTTCTCACAAGTAGGACAACCTGGTTTGTGAATGAGAAGAAATATTGGTTTTCTGCTGACTTTAGCCTCTTGGAAGCCTTCTTGCAGGTTTCTCCATTTGTACATTTGTCCGAAGCCGTGATTCAAATCGTCGCCGGCCGCACTTACATTTCTAAATATGTAATACGTCAATGTGGTAAAACTCAGAGAATTGAGACATTTGTATGCGTAACGCATGACTAATTTTTACTGTGGAGAACGTTTCTTCTAGTATAATTTATAACGCATACATAATTTAACTTTTTCAACTAACCTCGTACTTCATTTCTTTCTTTTGTTTTACTAACAAACAAAAGGGGTGGCGTTGGGATCGCTTGCGGGACTTCGTACTTTGGAGAAAATTCGTTTCGTTGGCAATCTCGACGACCCATGTTTCTGAGAATTGCCTAAATATTAATATATGTATAAAGTGTAACACGCATAAGATATGATAGATTTCTGCGATCGAATCTTCTGTCCGCCGTCTTATCGATGACGAAGAAACACTCATGGCTGTTCGCGGCTACTTTACGTCTACTCATTACCGGAATACTTTGAACTTTGTTTTCAAATGGTACATAAGTGCCATCTATCGACATTCATTACATACTTCATAATTGTTTCACAATTACTAATTGATTTTCTATACTGAAAATTTGCTTGCGTGTTTGTTTTTTTTTATATCTATTTCTACTTTATAAATTATTTTCGCAATTATTATTTGTATGGATAACTATGTAGTTTTTCAAAAATGTTTAATCTTCTTATAAAACCTCGTCGGTAACATGATCGGTAATGTATTACCCATCGGACAATTTTCTGAAACGGTTATGTAGTTTATGTTTTCTGAACATAGAAGCGTCTTGAATTCACTTAAACTGAGGATGACTGTTCTTGGTTTTTTCTCTATTTTAAGGTAGTACTCCGGTAAAAACCGATGTATGTACGTTGATTGATATAACTAAAAGCGGTTTGAGTGGTTAAATTCCATTCAAATCCTGACATGAGTTATCGATTAAGTGTTTTTGGTATTTAGTGCGACCGTTCTACGGAAACAACCGCATATTTATTCTGTAAATGTAACAATGATGCAAAATAAACTGGCGTATCGTAGGTTAAGATTTCGCCGGAGTTCCTTCAATGCAGTGCCAGTACTGAACAATATCGGAAAGCGATACTAACTCGTCGAAAATGAGTCGACTATGGAATTACCTAGTCTTTCAAGCATGGATGTCTTACTTGATGGCAGCTGGATTGTTAGTCTTCACGAGTGGCTTCCTCCTTAATCGTGTTTCCAGGCCAGAACGGGCTGAATGTACACAATGCACAGTCGGCAGTGATTGCGACACGACAAACATTTTCCGAGACACAGAACACGCCGCCAAAGTATGCCTAGAGCGCAAGGCACGGGTTGTGCTCTTGATCGTTGATGCCTTAAAGTACGAGTTTGCAGAATGGCACGAGGATGATGTCTCAATGTCGTCCTACCATCGCAATAAATTGCCTGTAATTCACGAATTACTGCAGAAATATCCATCGCATTCTCGTCTATACAAATTTATAGCTGATCCACCTACTACAACTATGCAACGTCTGAAAGGTCTTACAACCGGTTCCTTGCCTACTTTCATAGAGGTAGGGTCAAATTTTGCCTCGGAATATATTCAAGAAGATAATCTCATTGACCAAAATGTTGCCGGAGGCATTGTTTTTATGGGAGATGACACATGGACCAATTTATATCCAGATAAGTTTATGAGACAATTTCCATCACCGTCATTCAATGTTTGGGATCTGGACAGTGTAGATAAAGATGTTCAGTATCGCATTTTCTTCGAAATGAAAAAGAAAGACTGGTCGCTACTGATAGCGCATACCCTTGGAGTTGACCATTGCGGACATAAGCATGGCTCGCAGCATCCGGAAATGACAAGAAAGTTAAACGACACAAACACGCTTATAAAAGAAATTGTAGCATCCCTTGAAAAGGATATGATGCTTTTTGTCATTGGAGATCACGGTATGACTGAGATGGGAGATCATGGTGGTGACAGCTTAAATGAAGTTGAGGCTGCAATGTTTGTTTATTCAACAACTCCCTTACTGAAAGGATTTGAGGTTAATGACGATAACAGCGTAAATCAAATTGATCTTGTTCCTACTTTGGCGTCGATTCTTGGCACACCAATTCCATTCTCTAATTTAGGGTCTGTAATACTCGATTGTTTGCCGAATAAGATGGAAGAGGCTGTTGATCAATTACTGTATCCATTGCAGTCTTTGTGGAGAAACATTGCTCAAACAAAAAAGTACATACAGATATATTCTGCGAATACGTACTTGTTTACAAAGGAGCAACTTCAGCATTTGGATTACATATATATTCTTCTCTCGGAACAAGTTAAATATGTCGATAGTTTTGAGAAGTTAGAAGCATTTGTTCATGATACTAAAGATTATTTTAAATTATTGAAGGACACGTGTTCCGAAGTATGGGTCCAATTTGATTCTGGTCTAATTTCCAAAGGTTTACTCTTGATGTTTTGTACATTGTTTTTCTTTTATCTCTTCATCACAGGTATCCCCGAGAATCGCATGTGTGATATATTTAAATCTTCATTTTTACAGTGCGCTATTACTGCGAATTTAATTACTGCAGCAATTACCACGTGTTTGTTCCTGTTGAATTTTTTGGGAGAGTTAAGAAACACAATCTTCTTCGCTACTGGTGTAGTCTCGATTGGTCTATTGGTCATAGTGATTGCTCAAAACTGGGATGTTATATCAATGTGCTGGTATGATCATCGTAGAATTAAGCTGTTGACCTATGTAGCTAGAATAATCCTCTTGCTGACGGTATGTGGACTCTTCTCTAACAGTTATATAGTTGAGGAGGACAAAGTTTTATCTTTTCTGTTTATTACACTTGTTTGTCTACTCATATTTGATTTAAGAAGGAGTGATTCTGATAACAGTTCCGAGAGGAAGACGAGGTTTACTTCGAAACCGTTGAAACCAAATTTTAGGACAATTGTATTCATTATCGGTCTATTGGCATGTGTCTTGGTGAGGCTATCGCATTATTTCTGGCGTTGTAGGGAAGAGCATCTGGAACGGGAATGTTCTACTATTGCAACTGGTAAAGTTAGCTGGTCCACGATGCCGAATAACTGGGAACACGCCCTACTTGCTGTTCTACTCGCTTCAGTCATCTTGGCGTCATACGTTGTGATTGTTAGAGTGTGGTTGCAAAGTTGTGGAAATCTCACAGGCTTTGCTCCAAGCGTCATTGTGGGACAGTACTGTCCAGTTATTGTAAGTGTTTGCATGGGTTGCTACTGGATTCTGCAAAAGCTTCCAAAGTTCGTCAAACCGAAATTTGCATTGTCCTGGGAAGTCAACACGCTACCTAACGTAGTTTACTTCTTCTGCGTGATCGCGATTTTCGTCCTCTATTATCGCCCGCTCAGTATATATCTGCTGCCAAAGAAGAAGGAATCCATCGATGTCTACCGTGATGAAAATATAGTGCCTCGGTTATTTGAGAAGATAAAAGACTCGATTTCTCGCAAACGAATAGATGCTGACGAGCTCCCGGTAATTTACGGTTTTGGAACTGCCTACAGTGCTGCATTTACCTCATTAAGCGTATTCTTTACGCTTTTGTACTCGTTACTGCTAGGAGATACTCTATCGCCCAGCACCTTCTTGATGTTTGTAACATGTATCTGCGTGCTGGGTTTGTCCGCGATAGAGAGATATAAAAATGCCAATAATATCTGTAAGTACACATTATATATATATATATAATAATTTTTAAATATGTTTCATGTATTCTTACATTGCAGTTGAACTTGTTGATGTATCTATGCCTGTGTTACTCTGCTGGTTTTTACTGGCTGAATATTTCTTTTATGGGACTGGCCATCAAGCGACATTTCCTACTATTCACTGGCATGCTGCCTTCATAGGAACTGGTGGACATTTTTATGGAAATTTAATCTCAGCAATTCTAATTGGTTGGTGTTGATACAATTTTCATGAAAATTTCTGCCATTTAACATGCTTGATAACTTAATGCGCTTAGCATTAAATCGAGTATTAAAGTTTTGACCAAATTTACAGGCATCAACACATTCGGATCGCATATTATATTGGGTGTAACATTACCATTATTAATAGTCGTGCCATTCACATTGCATCGGATGTTTCCCAAGTATCTCAAAACAAAGTTTCTCGATGACATAAAGAGGGGCGAACTTCTTCTGTTCGAACAAGATTCTGCCTTTCACGCTGCTATTTTCTCGGTTGCGGGAAAATACACATTACTTCACGGAATTCGGGTAAATTGTATAAAACTTGTAAAATTATTTCTAAGATACTAGTGTGCTTTTTTTATCTTGTCCAAAGAGAGCAATCTGTATTAATTTAGCTGTTGTATTTTTTTTCTAGACTTTCGGCAGCATGCTCGCGGCAACTATACATTGTCGACATCTAATGGTTTGGAAGATATTCGCACCGAAACTGATATTCGAGGGAGTAGGATTCCTGATAACGTTGGGTAGTGTACTGGCATCGTTTTACATGGTGTTTCGCATCGATCAACAGATGGAATACTTCATTACCAGAGTCACGAAAGGCAGATGATAGTGACTCACTCTTAAAGGTGTATAGTACAATCAATAGTAAAGTACCAAAGTCGTAAGGACACTTGACTTTTGCGGTGATCCGAAAATGGCTCGTTACTTACAAATATAGATCGTATATCCCTAGAGATTCGAGACATTACAATATGAAACAAGCAACATACAAATCTATACTTACCACGATACTGCCAATATTTCTACAATTTTGTATGAAAGTGTAGCAAGAGAAGGTATAAACCAAATCACAGATATATCTAACGAGTATTATGTAAACGGCGTTTTTCGTATCAAACTACAGAAACTTGGTCTCTCCGCTCCTTCGAGATATAATATTAATGTTAGCTATATTAATGTTTACCTCATATAGAATGCAATGTCGCGTAACCAAACTGTGATGCTTCCTAACACACTAACGCTACCCTGCGTGCAATGCATTGCTGATTGAAGACGAACAAAGCAACGCACTTGATGCAGGATTGCGTCCGTGTGCCGCGGTCTGCCTGCACAACTGATGGGCACATCGGCGTGTGACTACTATTATAAGAGTACGATTACATAGAGAAATAGTCTAGATACCATTAGCATTCATCTTTCATATCCTTCGGTACGTATACACAAGAAAAGTATTCTGTATTGTGGTCTCGATACAAAACCAACTGTACAATAAATCCGGCATTTTAGATCTATTCTTTGTACATTATATCTCGATTGTTTATCGCTGATATTTTTGGTCAATTTAAGATAACATTACCGTTAAGTTTCTTGTTTACCTTCTTATTCCAAATATGTTTTATTGGAAATAATGAATAATCGTACACGTTTATTTATATTTCAGGGAACATTTTTAGCAAATTTTTCGTTCGAGATCTAATCTTGTAAACAGACGACGAAAGAAGTACTCTTGCTCTGGATAAATGGCCTAATGGTGGTTATGATGGTGCCTACGATCTTCTTTCTCCTCCTTGCGATACTGCATCCAGTTAGCCCATTTGTCCAAGTTTTCGTAAGCATGAGGCTCCTGTAGACAGATGAACAGATGCCCGCAATATTCAGAGATAATTCAGAGATATGGCACGTACTTAATTGTAATTAGTACTGTAAAACTCTGCCGGTTGAGAATTAGGCAATTTAGGCATTTGAATCTGAAAACAAATCAAGTTATCACACTGTATAGCTTTATACTGTATGGACATGATTCGTTTAATTAGGCGCGATTTTGATGCAGGTAATCAGGTAATCCCATTCCTTGTTTCATCTACTTTTTCCTATTGCCTTTTTTGTCATTGTTTGTGATACAAATATGATTTTTTAATATACTGCTAATTTTTTTAAGATTTATTAAAATTATATATATTTTTTAAAATAATCAAGAATAATAATTGAAAGATTTGTGAATGATGTATGTATAGACCAACTGTTGATAATTGTTGTTCAATTAATATATTAATTACCGAACATGTGACAAATTTCATATTAGCATAGACTTTATTTAGACTTGTTGAATTACAATTAAAAGAACTTTCATGAAATTTTGCAAACTTTTTGTTTTTGCTTCAAGATAGTTTTAATTTTGAACATTATTTTAACGAAAGATGTTGTGTACCAAATTTCGCATAGAAATTAATCTCATACTTTTACATAATAATATTTACGATGTTTTAATTAAGCTCTTGTTCTATTTATTTTGTTGAAATTATAAATCTCTTCGTAAATTGCAGACACACTTACCAACAACTTGATTCCACCTCCCTGATGTCCTGGTGTAGAACCTCCTCCAGCTTGTACAGACTCCACCGAGCCGGCGGGCAGACTCTGATACCCTTGATGCATCTGCATTTGCACGCCTCTCGTATACTGCCTGTGATTGTCGTTTTGCTGGTCATTGCTGTTTTCGTATTCCAAGTAAGGCAACAAATCATCATCCACTTGTCGCTTCTCAGCAGGCGCCAAGTTCTTTGAGTAAGACACCCAGGACGTTGACTCCTTGGGCAAAGCACGGCTCGTTATAGGACTTTCTTTCATGGGATTCACCGGATAAAAAGCCGGACTTGCGCTCTCAATGGCCGATATTTTTTTTAGAACAGCATTCAAAAGAGTACTGTTTATTGACGAAGCACCAATTGCACCGCTAGCATCCAATGGAATCTTGGGTGAAGCCGAGTCATTGCCAGTATCAGGACTAGCTGTCGTCGCACTCTTCGCGGCCGCAGTGATGTTTCTTTGCAAGTCCGTCAACATGTCGAATACTTGACTGAGCACATCCATTCTCTGCTTAAACGGCAATGTCGGATCCACTGTTGGTTTTGCGAAAGGAAACACACCAGCGAAAGGTTTGAAGGGTTTCTTCGCTGTAGAGGCAGCAGCTGCCGCGGTCTTTTCGTAAGTAATCAAATCGTTCAGAGTTTCTAACATGTCGCTTTTTAGGTCGCCGAGCTCCGACAATATCGTGTCGACAATCGCGTCTTTGGCAACTGCGATGGATGACGCATCGTTCAAGGATCTCGCGATTTTATTCGGCGAAATGTCGTCGGATTTTACAGACCGCAGAAAATCGCTTTTTGCGTCCGAGCCGTCAGCTGCTCCCTGCGCTGCAGTTGCGTTCAAGTTTAAGCTGTCGAACAGTTTGTCCAGAAAGTCTGACACCTTCGAGGAGTACTCGGTCGGACTGGGGATTACGGAGGATGGTATCCAGAAACTGGGTGGCACGATAGTGCTCTTCGGCGCGGGTACATCGGTCGTTGCGCTAGCGGGAGTGCTGGTGGCGAGATTCTTGAAGAGCGTATCCAGGAATGCCGACTTCTTCGCGATAAACGCGCTCGGATCCACCACGGGTCCGAAAGATCCACTTGATCCGAAGAGTCCGCTCGGTCCGAAAGGCCCGAACATTCCCGGCGGATATTCCTTTGGCGTGTCGTCAGCAGTTGATTTTATCGCCGACATACTTTCTATTATCTGTGATGGGTCCGAATCGGTTTTACCGTCCAAGACGGAATTGGTGTCGTCTGCAAAAGAAGGCACTACGCTTCTTTTTTTGCGGAAGGAAGCTGTGTTGTAATCGGGTAATGTTTTTGGCAATGAAGACGACATTACGGGTCCGAATTTCGGGCCCATCGGGCCAAACTTTGGGGTGAATGGACCGAACATACCGCGTTTATACATACTGCTACTTTTTTTACTGTCTAGCAGTGCGTTCGCGTTCGCTAAAGGTCCGTATGATGCGATCGGCTCAGCATCTGGTATATTATACGCCACTGGTCCTATACCGCCAAACAAATTGCTCAGCATATCTGTTTTCTTAGAAATGAGCATCTTCGGATCGACAAATTTCGGGAATAACGGAGATTTCGGCGCGTAAGGCACGGATATCGTGTCCATTCCTAGTGGAGGCCCAAGAGATCGTGAATAAACTACAAATTGCAAAATAATAATCGATAGGTTAGTAACCATATTTTTTGTGCGGTAGAAAATAACACAATAAAAAATTGATAAAATGAAAAAATTAATAAAAAATTTATACTTTGTAAGATTAGATTTAAATCTTTATTATGTATATACGAAAAGGTAGGAAAAATATTATTTTGATAAAAAAACTATATCTTTAATAACGATTAGTTTTTAAATGTCCGGCCACTGGGACACTTGATTTAATTATTAAAAACGAAATTTTTCCTCTGAATTAAGAAAAATTATAAAACACTTATTATTATAAGCCGCTTTCTTTTTATCTAACACTTGAAAAACTTTTATCTGAATTTAAATTATTAAAAAAAATTTTTAAACGTAAAAAAAATTAATTTTTTAGAACGGATATCTTTGCAAAGATATAAATCTAATTTATTTCACATTTACAGAATAGCGAAAGAAAAATAATGCAATATTACCGGGTTGGGATACAAAGTTTGTCCATGGTGCTCCGGATGGAAGTGCCAGAGTTAAATTGATGGTAAACGCCAGCAGGCAGGTGAAAAGTAAAAGTCCTTTCTGTCGAAACATATTGCACTAAGTAACGCGGTCTATGCCGTGAACTTGCTTTTATAATAATCATTGATCAATAATCCTTGCAAAGCCGGGATTACCTGCATAGAGAATGCTTGTGACTAAGAACTTGGTAAGTCTCATTAAAATAATCCACTCACCATATGTAAAATTTACAGTTGTGTACATTAATTAGCCGATGCAATTCCCTCTTAGAAAAATGCAATTTCCTTCTTAAAGACGTTACTGCGTCTATTTTAAGCCATAGAAATAATCATCCTCCCCATCAATATTAGATAGAGAAAATGGAGATTATGCATTTTTAACTATATACTTATAATATTTAATAATATTTAACAAAAAATTTGCATCTGTGCAGTAACGAGAATGAATTTCTATCGTTTGCAATTCATTAAATTGCGCTTAATTTTTTTTTGTTCACCGCAAATATAAGTGACGCATATTATGTGTGCAATCGAATTTTACAAATGAATCACGTATACAACATTTGTCAGTTGTTTTCAATAATGCAAATGTAAGCTGCTTCAATTATTTCGTGAATACTTTATTTTGTGACTCGACAAATTTGATAGGATACCTAAGGTCGTTATAAAATTTGTTATTATCCTTTTAACCCTTATATTATTAGCATGGATAACTTTGAGCGACGTGAGTAACACATTTTTTTTTAGTAGAGCTGCTTTTGAAAAAAAATAAAAACAAATAATGATTATTTAAATTGTCAAGTTATAATTGTCAATTTTACTTATTAGCTAGCCGTGTACATTTTCGATTATTTACCCTATTCAAACGAGATGTTGTAGTTGAATATATAAATAACTAAATTTAACGAATAAAATAGGAGGAAAAGGTAGAATATACAGACTTTTCTTTTTATAGAAAATTGTCCAAGGAAATGATAAAATAATTGTTAGAAAATATAGGTTCAAGTTTCAATTTTAATATAAAATAAAAAGAAATGCATCTTTTGAGCTTCTAATCTGATTGTACATCATTAATTTGTATTGATGTTGTAATTACAGAGAACACGAATAATACCAATGTTATTGCGTCAGAAGCCAAAGATTTTGAGGGGAACAATATCCCGAATATAATCACATTATTATTGAATATATATCATCCGAAAGGTGGTATACCCGCATACGAACGTGTGCTGAGAAAAGTTGAAAGTTTTCTAGAAGATTGTGATTCTCGCAAAAAGCAATTATTGCTCTCGATGATACCTGCTCCGAATGATGTACCAGATCATACGGTTAAACAAATTTTTTATACAACTACAGGGTTTCACAGACTAAATCGACAGGAAAAGTAAGCATCCTAAGTATTTCTTATTCGTATTGTGTAAATCGTTTTATAAAATATCTCATTAACATATTATGTTAACCACATATATATTTCAATCTAAATTTTACTTAAAACAATATGGACAATAGTGTTTCATCATCGAAGCAAAATTTTTCATACAACAAGAATGCATCAGACTCCAAGTCATCGCTTCGCGAAGCTTTTCCTTTTCGAGGTTTCCCTGAGAGCGAAATTTCTACGATTTACAATCATACAAAAAATGTAAACAATTTGTGCAGAGCCACAGAATATGATCTTCCTCGTTCAGAAACTCTCGAAAATTCAGCAAATGTTAATGCAAATTCTGCAACGTATGTTAAACAGCAAGCCGACCCATCGTTGAATTGTCAATTAAATAATAATCGAAATAATTGGTTGAACAAACATAGCAAGCATCAGATACCGTCTTGTCGGCAATATTTACTTAATAAGAAATATAATGTGCCTGCCAGAATTAATAGCGGGAGTGCATCGTATCTTCCTCATTCATCTCAAACAGTAAATCAGGTATGTAATGAAGAAATAGATAAAAAAATAATTTGAAATAAATTAAATAAAATAAACAAACTGATATAATCAATACAAATAAAATTCTCATAAATTATAGAATGCACGCTCTACGAAGATCCATAACAATACCGAGATAAAAGCGAATTGCTTGCAAAATAAAATTTCTCAGCAATTTAATGACGTTGAATACGAATCTAAACATTGCAAAGATACTTGTGCGTTTGACAAAGACAAAAAATCCGATATTTCGTATATGATTATCGATATTGGCCAAAACGCAACAATTAAACAGACAGTTAGAAACAACACACATAAAATGGATGTACATTGGGACGAGGATCAGAATGTTGTTGTAGATGTACTTGAAGATGAAATATTATAGTTTAAATCAGTCTATTTCCAAAAGTAATGAAAGTTATTAAATTCTACAGGCGGACGATCTCTTGGCGCCAGCGCGCGATAAACTTAAAAAGAGTATAAGCAATTTTTTGAAACGGGCGCAAGAAGGAGTTTCTATTGGTAATATTATTCATTTTATCTGTTTATTTGTCGTATATTAATCACAGATAACATATAAAATTATAAAAAGTAATCTCTCGTGTATACAGAATTGCCGGCCTTTCCACGCACCAGGTCGTATCCACAGATGGACTCCTCGAATTCGATACATTTTACATCGAAAGACCGGAAATCTGGAATGTCGCATAAAATTTTAGGAAAAGATTTTACATCTAGGGTCTCAAGTAGTGATGATAATAGCTTACTTTTTAAGTATCAAAATACAGATGTTAATTTAGGAAAGAATGAAAGAGCACAGGATAAAGAGACGAAGCAAGGAGCATTTACTTGTGTTAGCAAACTGCGGAATACGAAATATACTTCTCAGAAATCGAACGAGCCGATTGAATTGCAAGCTCAACGAGATGATTCAGATTACATTACGGAAAAGAAAGTGGCTACGGTCAAGTGCGAAGAACATGATACGGAAGAATCGATATATGGGTAAATGTGTGATTATTGCATTGAATGCAATGTTTAGCAGCATGCGCGCGCGCGACAGCGCTAATATAATAATAAAAAAATTGTCAATTCAGATGCACAATAACAGGAGCAAGATCAAATGATGTAAATTCAGAGGACAATTTTCAAACTCACTCCATATTCCAATTAGCTGCGCACAAGAAACGATATTACAACACATTATTGAATGTTCAGAAAGCTAAAGGTTCGTTAAAATACATTAATGTTATTTTGTTGAACAGTCCTTCAGATATGGCTCACTGATACCTCGTGCGAAATATTACAAACTATTTGACGAGACATACGAAAACTGTTGAACGCTGATTACTTTAATTTTATTACAGTCGCAGTAACGAATTCCTTAGCGTCTTCCTCGAATTATTTAACGGGCTACGATCCGTATTATTCGAATCACGCGTGTCAGCAGCAGAAACACCTGTTTCGCCAGCAATGTCATCTCGCAGCGGAGCCGCAGTTTTCAGCTTGTTCGACAACGCTATCCGGATTATCGAATGTACATGATAATCAGTACAGTTGGACAAAATCCGATTGTAAATATCTATTACTAAAGCAGTTGAAACTTGAACGGCAGGTAAGATACAAGCACGTAAGTTGAATTATTCCCAGATATGTTTACTCACCGTATATCATTACAGAATTTGCCCATGTATGTCCGAAATCAAAAGTAAGTTATTTCCATGTGCTCGATAACATATGTGTCTGTAATTCTCTTTCTTTTTTACGTCAATCGAATCACGTCATTATGATATATTTTTCTATTTGTTCACTCTCTTCAAGTGACTGGATTCGTCGTTACATCGGATCTGCGCATCCCTATTCCTTCGTACCGAGCGGAAATGATCCAACGGGACACTGTGCACGCCATAAAACATTGGAAGACATAGTTGGAAAATTAAAGGAGACTGAACGCAGTAACGTTAATAATTAGTGTTCTTTCTTGCATCGATTCGATGAGAATCCAGTGAGCAATTGGGCAGTTGTGAAGCTTCTACAGCTGTGACGTATCGCGACGAAGGACTAATTGATGTAACAGCAATGGTAAAGATGTCAAAATACTCACACAAAATGAGTATATATACACAAGTATATAGATATACATAAGCTCGATACGAATCTATTCATTTCGTTATAAATATTCTCACTTTGCATTAACTTTGTTTTCGCATCAAAAATAATGATTACGTGCTATTGTGTGGAAAGATTATCATGTCTAACGATTTGTATATACGTTTTGTTATGTTGAGCATTCCGATTTCTTGTGAGATGTGACTTGTAAAGTTCAATAGATCGCGCAACGGTTTTCATAATTTCGTTTGTATTTCATGGACGATTGCGTGACAATGGTATTTTCAATAGCATATAATGCAAGATATATAACGCTATGCTTAGCTGTCGCCGATCGAACCGTATTTAAACGTATTCACTAACAGAAAATGTATACTGTTCTGTTCGCGAGTAACATTATACAAAGTTCACTCTAATGACTAGGTGGTTTGTGATATATTATTAAATAGCACATACGGTCACACATGCACGCATTCGCACAGTCAATAGTGTATAATACTCGCTCGTTTATTTAGACGTACAAAAGATGACGTTTAAAAGAATATGTGATAATTTAAGTGTTACGTGACTCATCAATCATTTATTGTCCAGATCATTCGCTATCGGTGCGACAAATCACCAAGATCGCTGGATATCTGCGTCGTACTTGGTAATCTGTCTGTACTCATCTACATCCATTCTCCGACTTCTTCTGTAGACATTCAAACTTGCGCGAGATTTCCTAACAATTAATGCGCCGCTTGATGTTTATTCTAAATATTGGCAGCATCACATTGTTCACTCATATGTAACTAAATATATTAATAGAACGAGACACGTTACGCGACAGTACATTATCCGATTGCATTCACATAAATATATTAAGACAACACCCAAAATATACCCAAACAAAACAAACACTTTTATATGCGACAACATGTGACGCGTTACATGAATATCTATCATCCGATATAAATGATTAAGCCAATATATCCGATAAATATTAAGCCAATTAAATCATCCTACTCGAAGGAGAATTAAAGCGAATTGACAAGAGCTCATCCTGCAAAATTAAATTTCTATTTTGTCGCAGTTGCAAAAAACAATTACAACACTCTCAATTAATTTAAAATGTCCGTTTTACACGAGAACATTTTCTGCCCAATAATTTTAACTTGCAATTAGCTAGATTTTTGGATTTGTATCAGGTCAGATATAGACTTGTCATATTGTATAGGATTGTCTTGCTATCACTACAGGTCATGTTGTTGATGTCGAGTTTAAAATGTAAAAAAAGTTTGCGCCTATTAATCGTAATTGGAATTTATTGCTTAAATAATAATTTATTCATACAAATTCTAAGGAACATCGCAAACATACTGCTATTTGTTAACTTTGTTAATAACTTGAAGCAAACAGGTGTTGCGAAGATTAAAGTCAAATGACCGTTTGATCTTTACTGTAGCAATAATAACGACTTTAATTTAGACAGTTAGTCTCTTGTTCGATGCTATTATTTAATGACAAATCATGTTTTTTTTTGAGTCTTGAAAAATTCAAACTTTAGCACTCGAAGTATTTCGCAAACAACAATATGTAAAATGTAAAAATAAAATGCTTGTATGGTCGACAGATTATATTATTATATGCAGATAAGTTTAATCGTTTATTGTTTAACTTGGTAACAAAATTGTTTAAACTGTTTTACTCTTATAAAAAATAAATTAAAAATAATTCTATCAAAACCCAAAAGTGTAGTAAGAAATATTGAAAAATATAAATTAAATAATTACAATTGCTAAGTTATAATTTAACATATCTTTAATTAATACTGACTCAGAAATCTCTAAAAGGAGATAGAAAATTAACAAATCGTAAAACTTAATTTATGAGTTATCATTCAAGTCGTTATTTATTGCTAATTTGTTTGAGTTAAAAGAGTTATTAACTATTATAATGAGTTGAAACGTCGTGTCGCGAAAAGGCAAAAAAATAAATAGGCAACGAATAGAATTTCACTGACTTATAGATACGAGATAAAAACAAAACTTGTACGCTGGCCTGTTTCACAGAGACGTAGTCTCAACCCGAATTTGAATTGCAAATTGAATGAATTATAACAAATCATAATTACAAAGCTTTGGACGTAAAATCATCGAAAGAGAATGGATTCAATCGACATACACTAAATTCAAAGAGCATTATATTTCCCCTGGCAGTGTCTGTATATCTTGTTTTTAATTCAGAACTAATTGCCTTGTACGCCAAATAATATCTTATTCGATTAATTATTTGAAAATGACATATTTCAAACGTTTCTCAGCGTAGCAACAATGGGCGATACACCGAAAAAATTGTACGTTATCTTTCATTGTGCCCAACAGAACGCGTTATGACACCGTCGATATTTGCCATAACGAAAAACTGCCGTATCACACGCTATTACTTTTACTATGAACACGCATTTCTCTTATGACTAATAATTGATTTAAGATCGCCGCATCAAAGTTCAATAAATATGTGATCTGTGTATTGTTTCGCTATATTTGTGTTTACACTCGCGCGGTATTGTATCAAAAGACAAGATAGCTGGTAGTCGCCCTAATTAAGATTGATCAATACATTCCGTTTGATCGTATGATGATTGCGATACATTGATCGTGAACAAAGGAGAAACGAGGTATCAGAGAAATTCACTCTGAGGACTGTGTGACGCTGTTACATTTTAGATAGAAGAAACTCAGTGGGACGACTAATCATGAAACAAATCCGCTTGACGATTCCTCTAGGATGAATTGTACTTCTAACACGATATGTATGTACTAAAAAATATTTCGCTCTTTAGTTTGTTAAGATTATTAAAGAGATATATAATTGTACAAAAAAATACTTGACCAGAGTTGACTAGATTTTCTCATAAAAGTAAAGAATTAACACACAATGAATACAATATTGTTTATCTAATTTAAAGTTACATAAAATGTCTGGAAATGGTGGCTATGTTTCTATACGGGAATAGGGACGGACTTTTCTTCTTCAAAGCTTGAACAAATTAGCGATTTTCATTGTTTTTTGCATCGTGTAAAGATAAATACTTGACACCTGATACTTGAATGTCAAATAATGCTTGATTCAAATTTATAATAATAAAATAAAAAATGCCATCTATTTTTTGAGGGAAGTTATTCTGTAAAATTATTTAATTTTCAAATTATACTGTACACTGTTATTTATCTCGAGGATAAAAGCTCAATTAAGCAATTTGTAAGTCCGTCCTTGTGTAAGAGAATGATACCGTTGTAATATAATGAGCATATTTCAAACTTTATGAGCCAATTGGAATAATACAATGAATAATTGTTCCACGCATACTATTCCGTTCATACGGGAAAATAACTGATGCCAAACCGATCTTCCAGTGCAAACATCATCGAGTCATAGAATTTTCATAATCATAAATTATTGAAAACTTCTACATCAAATTATTTATTATTAAAAGTTTTCTCTCAATGCTTTTTCATAAGAATTTATCCTATATAAGGCCATTGGGTGAAGTATACATGTATAGATATTGTCATTGCAAAGTAAAATGTTAGTAAGATTTTAAGTGCTATGCCATTATTTATTAAAAAGCCATCCGATCATAGAATCGGTTGAACTGTAACATCAAAATTTATATATATATATATA